AGAAATTAAACAGCACAAACGTAGTCCCGGCAAACCTCTTTAATTCATACGGCTGTAAAATTACTTTCATTTACAGTCCGCAAAGCTTGATAAACAGTCTTTCAGAGGAAGGTTATCGACACCCACCTATCTCACGTGGAACGCTGCCAGAGAGCTAATTTCCAGACGCAGGGAAAGGCCAAACTTGGCACAGAGTCACAAAAAGAACTTTCAAATCTTGAATCAGCCAGATGAACTAACTGCTTCCTGCAAAAGCTCACGTCCAGTTCGCTTCTCTTTTATGTCTTATGGGAGGGGCCAATCATCTCCAAGCCTTACTCCCAAGTCGACCCTGTTTCCTTAACTGTTCCTGTCTCCTGGCAGCTCTGCGCATGCGCACACTGGGAACAGGGTCCCGCTGTTCTTCTGCCTCGCTGATGTCAGACTCTGCAGACTCCAGAGGCAGCAAAGAACTATCACACGACCTTGGCCCTCTCTCTGGCTCCGATTCAGAGCCCTCGTCCGAGCCTTCCCCAGACTCCAGGACTGGCCCACGTTCCTCCCCAATCTCCTCACTGTCCGAATCTGCTGCCAGCTCTGCTGGCCGGTGCCGGGCCACAACATGAACTGTTGTACGTCGAGGTCAACCTGTACTTATATTCTTCACCAAGCATTCTTCACCAAGCATCACACACTCGTGGTGTGGAGACAATAATTTGGTCCTTAACACCAATAAGACCAAGTGTTGTGACCCAGGCCCAATAAGTATTAGTTTAAAACAGACTTTATTAGAACAGCTGAGAATTAACTCATTCTCAGCGTAGTCCAAACTAATTCAAAACAAATTCTTCATAACACAATTCCTCAGCCTTATCACCAACCTTGGTCTAATTAGGCAAACTGCCAAAGGCTTTTCTTGGCAAAAGTTCAGAAGCAGAAGACGCCGACAAGAAATAAATGCAGCAAGACAAGAAACAAATCTATCAACGTTGTTTTCCGACAAAGAGCCCAAGAGCCGTTGCTGGTCTTTTAAGCCTTATGGGAGGGGCCAATCATCTCTTGGCCTTACTCCTGAGTCGTCCTTTTTGCTTGAGCTGCTTTTGCCTTCTGGCAGCTCTTCTCATGCGTGCACTAGGAACAGGCTCCTCCTGTTCCTCTGCCTCTCTGCTGTCAGCCTCTGGAGGCTCCAGAGTCCGCACATCACTCCCAGATGGCCCTGGCCCCATCTTTGCCTCCGACGCAGAGCCTTCATCCGGGCCTTCCCCAGCCTCCAGGACTGGCTCATGTTCTTCCTCAGCCTCCTCACTGTCCGACTCCGCTGCCAGTTCCGCAGGCTGTTGGCGGACCACAACACCAAGGAGCTTATAGTGGACTATAGAAGGAATAGATCAGACATCCAGCCCTTGGTTATCAATGGAGACCGAGTGGAGCAAGTGGCCAGTTTTAAGTTTCTGGGTGTTATCCTAAAAGAGGACCTGACCTGGGGCGCTCACATTGCAGTACTGGTCAAAAGGGCCCAGCAGAGATTATACTACCTGAGACTTCTCAGGAAACAACAGCTGAATGAAAAACTGCTGGTGACCTTCTACCGCTGCACCATAGAGAGTATTTTAACTTTCTGCACCTGTGTATGGTTTGCCAATTGCATAGTGGCAGATAGGACAGCACTCCAGAGGGTCAACGCCATTGCCCAGAGGATCATTGGTTGCCCCCTCCCCTCCTTGGAAGAGCTTTATAGCTCCCGCTGCCTTAAGAAAGTTCAAAACGTTCTTAAAGATCCATCTCATTCTGGGTACCCCCCCCCTTTTTTTTTTTGAACTATTACCATCTGGCAGACGGTACAGGACAATAAAAAGAGCCTGATAGTACAGTGGACTAAAGCACTGTTATTAACATCTGCTGCTTGCAATTACTGCAAGTTCAAATCTCACCAGGCTCAAGGTTGACTCAGCCTTCCATCCTTTCAAAGGTAGGTGAAATGAGGACTCAGATTGTGGGGGCAATAAGCTGACTTTGTATAAATATGCAAAAGTATGAAGGCTATTGCTTAATGCACTGTAAGCCACCCTGAATCTCCGGAGAAGGGCGGCATATAAATTAAAGCAAAAAAATAAAATAAATAAAATAAAATAAAATAAAATAAAATAAAATAAAATAAAATAAAATAAAATAATAAAATAAAATAAAATAAAATAAAATAAAATAAAATAAAATAAAATAAAATAAAATAATAAAAGCAAGGACAAATAAGCTGAAAAACAGCTTCTATCCCAGGGCAGTAACTATATTGAATTCTACTGTATAATGCAATATTAATGCAATATTTATCAATTCAATTGTATATAATGTGAAGGGTGTGTGTTTTTGTTTTATTTATTTTTTTATATGTATAATGTACACTGAAGATGGCATTTAATTTCGTGGTACGAGGTGCAATGACCATAAAGGAAACTGAACTAAGCAGCGTCTCATCAGAAATATATATTTTATATATGTACCAGTCCAAAATGATTCCATGCTTCTCCTTGATACATTCCTGGTTCCTTTGCTTTTCCACGGTTAGCATAATTCAACAGCCTTCAGGCATTTTATATATTTATGGGGTTGGCAGCTTGGCAGCACATAGACTCCTAGGCTGGAGCCAAAGCAAACTTACCAGCAGTTCCAACCGAATGAATTTTTTTTCCAAAAGGTGGAAATTTTTTTTCCAAGGTGTCCAGGGAGAAGCCAAAACCGAATGCCAGATCGTTTCTTAGCTTTAATTTTTTGCTCTGCAGGACAGGTAAACCAGCCAGGAAGTGGATTCAAAGCAGATCAGAAGTTGGGCCCTTGCCTAAATTGAAGCACAGGGAGGAATGTCAAGAAAATGGACTGGAAACAGAAATCTCATTGCAGAAGATAGAATGATAGGGTTCAAAAGAGCCTTGGAGGTCTTCTACTCCAATCACGCTACTTGAGCAGGAGACCTTATACCTTAAATTCTGGGTTATTGATATCAATTCTTTCTAAATTACCTACCAGATTCCTTCTTTGCAGAGACAAAAATAGCTCCTGTGGAGAAATTACTTGTACCTTCGTTCTTCATTTTTTGCTTCCTCGTTTATAATTTCAATCTTTTGAGGAGGAATACAGCTAGATCAGGCATGGGACCTTTGATCCAAGAAGTTCTAATTTAACTTTTGAAGTTTCTTCTGAACTCCATGCCTCCTTCATTCCCTTGAAGGTAAAGGTAAAGGTTCCCCTCGCACATATGTGCTAGTCGTTCCTGACTCTAGGGGGCGGTGCTCATCTCCATTTCTAAGCCGAAGAGCCAGCGCTGTCCAAAGATGTCTCTGCGGTTACGTGGCCGGCATGACTAGACACCAAAGGCGCACGGAACACTGTTACCTTCCCACCAAAGGTGGTCCCTATTTTTCTACTTGCATTTTTTACACGCTTTCGAACTGCTAGGTTGGCAGAAGCTGGGACAAGTCACGGGAGCTCACCCCGTTACGCTGCGCTAGGCATTCGAACCGCTGAACTGTCGACCTTTCGATTGACAAGCTCAGCGTCTCAGCCACTGAGCCACCGCGTTCCCTTCCGGCTACCTTAGATTGCACTAATTTCTTCATTAATTTGTAGCATCTTCTAGCAATTCCTAAAGTTTTCCGAGCGTTCTGTGCTTTCTATAACTTTGATGTTATTTCTAGATATCTGGGAATCTGACTCCCTTCTTAGTTTGTTGAGAAACGCATAGCGTACTTCACCTGGGGGCTGAACTTTATAAGATAATATAGTTATAGCAAGTGTTGCTTATTTATTGATTGTTAAATTGTATCCCATCTTTATTAATTTTTACAAACAACTCAAGGTGACGAATATATCCAACACACCTCCCTCGTCTTGTTTTCCCACAACAACCCTGTGAGGTGGGATGGGCTGAGCGGGAGAGGGACTGGCCCAAAGTCACCAAGCAGGTTTTCATGCCAAAAGCGGGAAAATGGAATGCAATGCAATGCAATGCAATGCAATGCAATGCAATGCAATGCAATGCTACAATGCAATACTACATACAATACAATACAATACAATACAATACAATACAATACAATACAATTCAATTCAATTCAATTCAATTCAATTCAATTCAATTCTTTGTTGGCCAAGTGTGATTGGACACACAAGGAATTTGTCTCCCGGTGACAGAAGCTCTCAGCATATATACAAGCAACAAATGTTAAATCATGATCATAATCATAAAATACAATAATCATAAATCATAAGATCCAACACTCAGCGATCGTCATAGGATACTAAATAAATGCGATCAACATAAATCGTAAGATACCAACAACAAAGTGATAGTCATAAGATGCTAAAGGAATAGATAATAAGAAAGATGAGGAGGAGGATAGTAGTAGTACAGCCCTACTATATGGTTTGACATCTTAGGGCACAAGTTGGTGTGGTGTGAATTACTTGTTCAGGGTCTCCCGCTTTCTAGCCTGGTGCCTTAACCACTAGACCAGGGTGTCAAATTCAAGGCCGGTGGGCTAGATTCGACCCGCAGGGTGCTTACATCTGGCCCACGGAGCTGTCCTGCCAACAGCAAAGGTCCAGCTTGTGATGCCTCTGCCAGCGAAAATGGAGCTCAGGAGGGCCATGTGCAGCCCTCATGAGATCTGTTTTCGGCCATGACGGCCTCCTGCAGCCCTCTGCCAGCAAAAACGGTGCTCAGGGGGGTCTCTGTTTTCACTGGCACAGGGCTGCAGGAGACTGTCACGGCTGAAAACAGAGCTCAGGACCCCGTTTTCGCTGGCAGAGCACTCAGGTCACAGGCGTCCCCAACACGAGTGACGTCAAGCTGGCCATGCCCACCCTGGCCACGCCCACCCGGCCTCCAAGGTCAAACACAACCCTGATGCGGCCCTCAATGAAATCGAGTCTGACAACCCTACACTAGACCAAACTGGCGAGTCAGAATATTTAACGCAACTTTATTGTAATTGTTTTCCCTCTTTTTTTTTTTTTTCTTGTAATAGAGTGTGAACGTAGAAAAGCTCCAAGGATCATCCATTAACGTTACAAGTGAAAATGGTTTGCTCAAAGCTAAATATTTGTACGCCGACGCCTCGTTTCTGACCTCAGCGGCTGGCGACATCTTACTGGGGAACGTTCATGGTAAGAGGGCAAAGCGACTTTATTAGGGCAACATTTCTCTAACAAATGCCTTTTTAAGGAAAAGTATTCTTTTTCGTACCTGGTTTAGTGCCCGCTTGTGTTTATGAAGCTGAATATAGCTCAGCCATTTCTTGAGTGCCTTGGGAAACTTAACAAGTTGAGCCAGATTTTGAAGATAACGCGGTTCTATTAACGAACAAAATAGAACTTTTTTCCTAAGGTTATGTTCTCTGAGAAGTATCCTGACATGAGCTAAAAACCAGGTGCCGTTTACCAAAAGCTGCAGCCGTTATGTACAATTGCCCAGAACTAAAACTTCATTTCTTTATTGGAAAACAAATTATATTATTACCTGTGTTATATAAAACAATCCTAGGTGGCTAAAAACACATGCAAATTAGGAAAATATAGAATAACAGAGTTGGAAGGGACCTTGGAGGTCTTCTAGTCCAAACCTCCTGCTTAGGCAGGAAACCCTACACCACTTCAGACAAATGGTTATCCAATCTCTTCTTAAAAACTTCCAGTGTTGGAGCATTCACAACTTCTGGAGGCAAGTTGTTCCACTGGTTAATTTTTCTAACTGTCAGGAAATTTCTCCTTAGTTCTAAGTTGCTTCTCTCCTTGATTAGTTTCCACTCATTGCTTCTTGTCCTACTCTCAGGTACTTTGGAGCATAGCTTGACTCCCTCTCCTTTGTGGCAGCCCCTGAGATATTGGAAGACTGCTATCATGTCTCCCCTTGTCCTTCTTTTCATTAAACTAGACATATACAGTTCCTGCAACCGTTCTTCATATGTTTTTGCTTCCAGTCCCCTCATCATCTTGGTTGCTCTTCTCTGCACTCTTTCTAGAATCTCAACATCTTTTTTACATCGTGGCAACCAAAACTGAATGCAGTATTCCAAGTGTGGCCTTACCAAGGCATTATAAAGTGATATTAACACTTCACGTGATCCAGGTTGGCACCGTAACAGTACCCACTCGGAAAGCTAAAGGATGCTGGGCTCCCATCCTGATCCAGCATCACAGGGAAGAAACAGAGTTTAACAGTCTTCCAGAAGGCCTGGATGATTAGACTTCTCCATATATCAAGGGAAAGCTGTTTCTTAGAGTAGATGAGTGTTTCTCAACCTTGATTACTTTAAGATGTGTGGACTTCATTTCCCAGAATCCCCCAGTTAGCATCTGGTGATAGTATCTGGCTGATAAGAGTCATGTCTTATTAGTATTTGAGGGAAAATAGTTAAAGTATACCGACATTGTAGGCTAGATTACAAACACTGTTTGTTTGGTTATATCCCACCTTTATTATTTTTACAAATAACTCAAGGCGGCAAACATATCCAACCCACCTTCCCCATCCTATTTTCCTCACAAAAACAGCCTTGTGAGGTAGGTCCGGCTGAGGGAGAGTGACCGGCCCAAAGTCACCTAGCTGGCTTTCATGGCTAAGGCGAGACTTGAACTCATGGTCTCCATTTTCTAGCCTGGTGCCTTAGCCACTAGACCAAGCTGGCAAACATATCAAACACACCTTCCCCGTCCTATTTTCCTCACAAAAACAGCCTTGTGAGGTAGGTTCGGCTGAGGGAGAGTGACTGGCCCAAAGTTACCTAGCTGGCTTTCATGGCTAAGGCGAGACTTGAACTCATGGTCTCCCATTTTCTAGCCTGGTGCCTTAGCCACTAGACCAAGCTGGCAAACATATCAAACACACCTTCCCCGTCCTATTTTCCTCACAAAAACAGCCTTGTGAGGTAGGTTCGGCTGAGGGAGAGTGACTGGCCCAAAGTCACCTAGCTGGCTTTCATGGCTAAGGCAGGACTTGAACTCATGGTCTCCCATTTTCTAGCCTGGTGTCTTAGCCACTGGACCAAGCTGGCAAACATATCAAACACACCTTCCCCGTCCTATTTTCCTCACAAAAACAGCCTTGTGAGGTAGGTTTGGCTGAGGGAGAGTGACTGGCCCAAAGTTACCTAGCTGGCTTTCATGGCTGAGGCGGAACTTGAACTCATGGTCTCCCGTATTCTAGCCTGGTGCCTTAGTCCACTAGACCAAGCTGGCTTCTTATGCCATAGGTCCGTGATGGCGAACCTATGGCACGCGTGCCACAGGTGGCACGCAGAGCCATATCTGTGGGCACGCGAATGTTGCCCTAGCTCAGCTCCAACACGCATCGGCCAGCTGATTTTCAGGCCTTCTGGGCCCAATGGAAGTCGGGAAACGGGCCGTTTCTGGCCTCCGGAGGGCCTCGGGGGGGAGGCAGTTTTCACCCTCCCCAGGCTCCAAGAAAGCCTCTGGAGCCTGGGGAGGGTGAAAAATGGGCCTACCGGGCCCACCGGTAACCTTTTTGCCGTCGTGTGCCAAAAACGGGGGGAGTGCGGGGGATTGCACGTGCATGCGCAAGGGAGTGGGGCAGGGGTGCATTGAATTATGGATGTGGGCACGTGTGCGCATGACCCTCCCCCACGCTCCCACGCTTTTGGCATGTGATGGCAAAAAGGTTAGCCATCACTGCCATAGGTCGTTCCCAGACGCGAGCTAAGAACTTCAAGATCGATCCTTTTTCCACAGCCTTAGTAAGGCTATGTGTGAATGCTACTTCTGAAGGACCATAGTTGTAACGAGCAGCAACATTTTGCCAACGTAAACAATGTGCTTCTCGTGTACCCTTTCCCAAAGATCAAAGATTGTCAGTTTGGGAAGGAAATAAACACTATCAAAAGAGTTGGGTGTCTTTGGAGGTCCTCCAAGTCATGGTTCTCCCAAATGTGCCTTTTCAAGAAGCCACTGGACTTTCTTGGTTTTTCCTTGAAGTTGTTTTGCTTCTCATCCAAGAAGCTTCTTCAGTTCTGGAACTTGGATGAGTTGGAAGCTTTTTGGATGAGAGCTGAAGAAGCTTCTTGGATGAGAAGCAAAACATCTTCAGGGAAAAACCAAGGTAGTTCAGTTGCCTCTTGAAAAAGCCCCTTTGAGACAGAAGAATTGGATCTGAAACATTGCAGAGAACAGTAGCTTCATTATCCTTGGTTGAAATGATGACTGGGATGTTCTGTGGGACCTTCTGATTTGGTTGGAGATGCTTCCTGGAAGTTTGGGCTGGTTGAGAGACAGAAAAACCCAATCTTTCTACTGCCAACTTTTCTCCTACGGTTGGTGGACTGCCCTGTGTCCTGAGTCTGGGGATTCCTACCTAGCATTTGAAAAGCGCTGAATGATTGAATATCCTGTATTTTTTTTTTCTACTGGTGGTTAGGATGTGGGGGGGTGCAGGCCTTCTAGTTGTCATTCATCCAGATTCCTGGTTTGTGGATTTATTTATTTTTTTGTGGGTTGGAGAACTCTGTCACAATAATTCAGAGCAGAAGTTAGTACTCAGCAATAAGATTATCCATCAGTCAGGCAGAATTTTAGCATTGCAATGATTCCCTTTTTTTTTAGCTCTTCTATTTTTTTATTTTATTTTATTATTATTTTTTGGGGGGAGTGGTTGTTCTTTCTTTTTGTGTCTGTCTTTCTTCTCTCCCAACCCATCCCTGCATTAAAAACCATTTCATTTTCTTTTCTAATGAACTGGAGGTTGGCTCAAACTTTTGGCTGTTATAGGCCAATGGTTCGAAAAGAGCCAAAAAGACTGGGCAAGCCACACAGGCTCGAGTAAATAAATAAAAACTTGATGTTTTTAAATTAAATTCCGAGGAATAGCCATGCTGAACTGTGAGGTCTCGTTCAAAAAATTTTTTGATCGATAGGTTTTAATGTAGACAGCTGAGTTTGAATATAAATTCGGCTGTCATAAAAGGCTGTTTTGGATACTTTCAGGCAAAACATAAAGTTTTCTGTTTCCACACTCTCCCTGTAAAAAGACATAATTTTGTGGCAGGATATAGCAAAAAGCTTAAGTGTCACAGCCAGTTTAAAGAAGATAATTTGAACACTGATGCCATTATTCTGCCTGGTTTTTGCTATACAATGTTCTAGAAATATCAGGCTGAGATATATGTCCCATATGTTCGAGACTAACTGAACATGCTTTATTCTTGAGCATACATGTAGAAGGCTGTGTTGATGACTTATGTTCCATGGGAAATTAAAATGATATACTGTATTTTCCGGAGTATAAGATGCACCTTTTTCCCCCTAAAAGGGGGTGAAAATTTAGGTGCGTCTTATACACCGAATGTAGCCCCGCTCACCCACTGGCCCCCACCCTTTGGCCTCTGCCTCGCAGCAGTTACCTCCTTGCAAGCAAACAGCAAGAAAAAAACAGCTCCTTTCAGCTTCAGCACAGCCTAACTAGCACAAGTTGATTGGATCGGCCTCCCGACTCTCAGCTGATTTGCTCTCAGCTGTTTTGCAGGGCCTCTGCTGCTTGCCTCAGGGAGGTAAATTGCTGGGAGCAGATTTTTTTTTTCCCTTGGGCTAATCAAGCCATGCTGAAAACGAAACTGAAAGTAAAGCAGGATGTTTGCTGCAAGGAGGCAAAATTGCTCAGAGGCAGATTTCTTTTTTCTTCTTTTCCTCACCAAAAAAGGTAGGTGCGTCTTATACTCCGGTGCGTCTTATATGCCAAAAAATACGGTAAGTCTTTGATTTATACCTTGTTTTCCTGAAAATAAGACCCAACTGGAAAATAAGCCCTAGCAGGATTTTTTGGGATGCTCGTAATATACCCCAAAAATAAGCCCCAGTTAAGATTGTCAGCAGATGGAGGCGTTTAGTACTGTATTTCCCCCAAAATAAGACCTAACCAGAAAATAAACCATAATGCGTCTTTTGGAGCAAAAATTAATATAAGACCCAGTCTTATTTGACTCTGTCTTATATTTTTTTGAACCCTGAAATAAGCGCTTGGCCTTATTGCCATGCACTCAAAAGCCCGATTGGGCTTATTATCAGGGGATGTCTTATTTTGGGGGAAACAGGGTAGCATTTCATTTAGTGACCGTTCAAAGTTACAACGGCAGTTTTAAAAAAAGGACTTACGACCGTAT